CATCTTGAATCATCGTATAGAAAGAACTCGGGGCATTAGAAATCCTAATAATTGTCTTAAAATCAATTTCCAACACCAACTATGAAATTTGAAGGTTAAAAAATAGTACAGATCTTATAGATATGCGAACACTTATTTTTAGGCACAAATATATGGTCTAAATAATATGTTACAATATACACTATTTTTAAGAGCTTTGAATTTTTTTTTTTTTCCGCAACAATAATGGTCAGGACCTAGATGATCGATTCGATGGTTTTTCTACAACATAAGTGCAATTTTCGTGAGTTTTGAGGTGAGGCTTTAATATACATATGTGTGTAAGTATATGCATATATGTATGTGTATTCAATGCAATATTATTTATATATCGTAAAATGTTGATAATAAACTTCATTTTACTTTTATTTGGTCCCTGCATGGCTCCAAGTCTAGGTAGGACCTAGTCAGGTGGAGTCCAAGTCAGGGTCTACCCGTGCCCGACTCACCCATTGCGACATCTAGTTTCAACAGTCTTAATCCTATTAACTTGCACGATTACCATTGATGATGATGATAAAGGGGTATCACATGCTATGCCAATCTAAATGTACCCTCAAAGACAATTCATGATGGTGATAATCAAAATCAATTTACCCCGACATATGAACTATAATACTTTTTTGAACATGCCGTATCAGCCATAATAGACTTTAATGAAGGCGGCTATTTTCCATTCAAAAGTGCTAAATAACATAATAATAACAAGGAAAGCAGTATGCCATGCCTATAACAGTATTTTCGCCTATAAGTCTGTCATTGCCTGAGTTTTTTGGACTACATGGAAAATCGAATGGCACAGACCTATTATGTTCGTTACGGTGGTCAATTTTTTACATTAAACCACAACGAACTTGTTACCCCCGTTGCGGGGGCAAAAATACTATTCGCTTCGCCTATAAGCATTGGAAAGTGTTCTCTTAACAAGGAATTATATTTGTATTGATTTTAAAGTTAATATTTGTTTTCATCTTCTTCTTCCTTTTTTTTTTAGGGCAGTCCGGTAGAAGAGAATCAGGGATGCAGTATTGTAATTATCAACAACTAACTAGTCACACCCCAAACCCAATTACATGATGAATTCCCAATTAAACAGTTCAAACTCTCCCCTTGGGCTACATTTCATTGAAGACATATAGGACAATAAAACATAGGTCTTGTTTGGATGCATGAAGTTTATAAAATATGCGTTTTTTTTTTCATCCTCCTACTTGATAACATAGTTAGCAAGTCTCCATTTATTATAAAAAAAATTCAAATTTTTTGGATTCTAGTGAGAATTATAATTTTTTTTTAAATATCTTAAAACAATACGTATTTTTTTTCATAGAACCGATATAAATCGTATTTAATATTTTAAAAAAAAAAACTTTTTCCCTATAATTTTATATCTTTATTGATTTAATATATTTCAATTTTGGTTTAGATATAATAATCACATTAAAAGTGGAAGTAAATTAAGAATATTGATCTAACAATAACTTTTGTCAAATATTTTCACCACCATATTCCCTTAAAAAAAGTGCAATATCTCCTCCTAAAATAATCCATGAAAACAACCATATATCTCAAAATAGTAATTACATTTAGAGGAAGAGTAACCCAACGAAAAATATTTTATTTTTTTTGAGCACAATGGCATCATAAAGAGCAAGAGAATTTAAGTGGCAACTAAATATTTGACAACTAAGAATTTAGGGTGAGTTTAGAATATTTGGATTCACTTTAACATTTTGTCTACATAAAAAGTTTGATGAATTCGATTTTTTCATATATATTTTTATTTCATCAGTGTATACTCTGCAATTTCGATTTACTAGTATTTTAGGTTTTTATGTTGGTTAACTGCAATCCTTTACTAGGGTTTTTTTTTATTCGAATACTAATCTTACACCTTGAGTTACCATTCTTGTTGTTTCCTAATGTAATTCTTGTATTTAGTATTAATGGTTTTATTGCATTCTCCCAATAAGTCTATCATATATTTTATGTTATGACAATCGAGTAAGTACTATTGTTGTATTTATTGAAAGTCTAGACAAAAATTTGTCGAGTATGATACTATTGATAATTGGAAAGGACATTAAAATTATAGCTCAATGGTTTTAATACACGAAATAGTAACTCATAAACTTATATTATAGGAAAAATATCTCCATGCATCATGTTTTTAGGTTTTATTTCTAAACAAACCCAATGTTTCAAAACATATATGATGGTATAAATATCCCATGTATTACATCTTCTAATCCCCTATACCGACTTTACTCATTATGGTCCATAAGTTCAGATGTTAAAATAATATTTTTTTTACGCCTTTCTAAACCTCCTTATCTCTGTTCCTGTCCCCAAACCTCGCTCTCCCCATGATTTTCCCCGAACCTCTCTCTCCATACAAGTGTTTTCCCTAAATCTCTCTCTCACACTCTCTCACCATCCCTCTCTCTCTCCCCCCTTGTAGTCTACGCCCTATTTGCCACATGCCTCTTCCTCTTCCTAGCATTTTCCAACAAACCTCCGGCCAATTCCAGCCATCGCCAGCTCATTTCCCGGCGACTCTAGGAACTCCGCCCCCCTTTTTTTGACTTAGAATGGGATGAAAGTTTTGGCCGGAGTGCTCATTTTTTCGGCAATTCCCAGCAAAATTCTAGCCATTCAGGCTTTTAAGGGGAAAACTCTAGCGAAGTGGGAGAAATTCTGACGAATTTGGGGCGAATTCTGGCAAGTTTTATGACGTGAGGAGGACACTGGTTTTTTCGTTTTCTCTCAGATGCAAAGCCAAGAGATGAGTATGAAGAGCTTGAGGGATGGAATGTTAGGAAGAGGGAGACGAGGGCTCGTGAAAAAGATGGAGATGATGGTTTTAGTGAGCTTGGATACTATACGTGATTCAAATGATGAGTTGAACTTGAAATTATCCGTTTGCCCCCATTTTTTGTGAACTATGGTAGGCCACATTGTTTGGATTTTGCATTCTCCAATAAAAGTTTTGGGTAATATAGTACTGGTTTTAGTTTATTCAAGTGAAGGAACAGAGCACCATATTACTAAATTTCACGTGTTTTAGGCAAGGAGCAGGGTACTATTTAGCTGGTTTTTGCTTTTTTAAGGAAGACTAAGGACCATAAAGACATGCATGGAGGGAGAAGAGAGAGAGATGTTTGGGGCAATCACAAGAGAGACATAAATAAGGGGAGAGAGAGAAAGGATTTAAAAAGGCATAGAATAATGGATGACTTTTAAACATCTGCTTACGCTACAGATATGGGTCAAAGTGAGTAAAGTTAGTCAAAAAGGTTGGAAGATATAATACATAGATTATTTAGACAACCATATATGTTTTGAAACTTTTAGTCTATTGAGAAGTAAAACCTAAAAACATGGCGTGTGGAGATGTTTCCTATATTATATTAACTTTGCATATTTGTTGTTTTTTACTCCAATTTTTTGAGCTAAATACGAAATATTCATGATTATCAAACTTACTAATTTTTGACGATTTGAATTTTTTACCCGATTTTTTGCCTCCGATTTTTTAGAACAAAGGCGATTTATTAATAATGTTTTGGCTTGCAAAGATATTGGCATTCCCTGATTTGCTAACACTATGCTCGAGAGTAATAAACCCAGCTTAGTCCACACTATTCACAGTGCAGCATTTCTTATCCCTTTTTTAAAATAAAAATTTATGCAACTACAAAATGTGCGTAAGGTGCAAGCGCATATCTAAAACATGCCATGAGACGAGCATAGTAGAAAAAGAAAAAGGGAAAATATATAAAAAAAAAAGGTGAAAAATTCCTTATAATATCACTAAAGGGGTCAAAATACTACAAATTACATATGACGGCATTGTTTTTTATATTAATCAAGTACTTCTTCAGAAAAGCAAAATAAAATCCAAATTGCCCCTGTTTGTTTTGGAAAATTAGAATAATTGGGGGATTTTGGCAATTTTAAATGGCATAAATACTTTCCAAGGTAAATATACTAGAGTAGCCATGATTATTTTGGCTTCTCAACAACAAAGAGATGTAATTTGGAAATTTTTTAACTTATTTGAGGAAGTACTTGATAAATAAATTTTAAAACATATTCTCATGTGAAATTTATAATATCTTGACACATTCATTGATATTATGAGGGGTTCCAACCTTTTTTTGTACATTTTCCCTAAACATACATGTTTCTGCTGCTCGGCATAAATAAATAGACTTTTACGAGGCTCCTGCAAAGTTAGCATAGGTTTATTTGAGAGGATTATTAGCACATCCAAATGAGGATTAAAGATTAACAATACCTAAATGGGAAAAAAATATATTAACCCCCATGGCTTCATTCTCTTTTTTTTTACCTGTGATTGATAAGTGAGAGTTTCCGAAAGTGGGAGTTAAACGCCTCACTTTTTTGATAAGCGAGAGTTTCCGAAAGTGGGAGTTAAACGTCTAACTTTTTTGATATTATTGTGCGGAAGCTGTAAAGTCAGAGGCTTTCAACGCAGTTTTTTTAATGTTAAAATGAAATCATTTTTTTTGAAGACTTCATTTCTTATAAAAAATAATGGAAGAGCAGCCTTCCATAACTTATGAAAAAATCCCTTTCACTCTCAAAATCATGTCAAACACATTATTTTGCTGCATTAATCTTCATCCCCCTCTCCCCGCCATTCCCCCTCTGAGTTACAATTTGCTTATTTCCGATACATTGATAAAGTGATCCGGTCCTACTCGGGGTGAGGTGAGGATGGATCGCACGATCCGTCAATCAACGGTCCAGATTAGCCTTCTAGACCTTTCGATTAAGGGGGGACGAGAGCTTGGATGAACGGAAGCAATCAAGGGTAAAAATAGTCATTACTGAAAATAGGATATTTTGGTCACTACAGAAAATCTCGGGGCTATTACTGTCATTCATTAAAATGCGAAGCTTTTTCTCTCTCCTCACATGTTGCGTCCCACAAATGTTACAGACTGTTTCTCTCTCCTCAACTTTTATAGTCGCGCGCTCTCTCTCTCTCTAAGATTCCCCTTCGCTTTCTCCATTCTCTGAATTTTCCGCCTTTATTTTTCTGAACGAGCTCCTGATTGGTCTCTTCCTACCAAAAGCCCTCTCTCTCTCTCTCTCTACTTTTGTAACCGAGGTTGGTATTCCTGCACACTGAAGATTAAACTGGTAAGCATTTCCTCTCCCGCTGCAAACTCCACGAAATGCATTCCTTCTCTCAATGCTGAGTAAATCCCGTACTTATCCCTCTCTCTCTCTTTCTCTCTGTATATTTATATTTAGATAGACGTACTTTTTTAGAATGTGATGCTACTGTCTACATATGTTATTTCCTAGAATGTGATGTTACAGAGTAGGGTTTTTGTTCTCATGGCTTTGTTCATTGCTGTGTTATAAACTCAACTGAGGAGGCAGGTTGAAACGAATGCTCTGAGTCTCTAACTTGGTAAGAGGAGACTGAAATATGTTATTTTCTTTTAGTTTATATCAAAAATTTTGAACTGGATATTGGCTGCTTATTGATTTTTCCAATGGAATTTGTCATGGAAATCCGTTTTTATTTTCTGGGTTTTAGAGGTAAAAGAGGGCAAATGGATCACTCTGTGTGGATTTTGTTATTTTTGTCTTGCCTTTAGTTAAACATGGTTTAACTTTTATGGTTCTATTACTTTCTATCCCTTGTAAAAATTTACGACTTATTGAAAATCTATGATTTATTGAAATATATTTGTGTGTTTTTTTTTTTTATCTATTTTTGGTTTCAATCTATGCATATACAAACTCTCCCCTCCCCCCCCCCCAATAGATTTTACTGTTTATTTGAATGTGGAGACATTAGTCTCACTCATTCATTTTATAAGAGAATGGCGTCTGAAAATTTGCTTGAATTTGATTTGTTTGAATGAATCGTGAAAGGTAACGATGTCTCACTGGCATTAAAAGATCCTAAAAGTTTCATCAGCTGTGCTGATCACTGATTAAGAAAGAAAAATTTTACCCTATATTACACTATTGTACTATCCACTCTCTACTACTATGGTGAGATTTAGTATTGGAGAAAGATTTCATTTTAATTTGTCGCAGTCTGAAGTTGTATGGCTCTTCCATGAACCAGAAAGGCCATCACCTCCCTTCATGCTAAATCGCTCTTATCTATTTATCTATTTTTTTATATGTTTTTGCTCATATAAGCGGTATATAGGCACCTGGATTAGTGCAAGGTCTTCAAATTTTTCAACCCATTACGAAATTGTTCTTTAAAGATCTCTATAGTTCATTGTTATATAGGTGTGTGTGTGTGCATATGCATGTGAAGTTAGTTCATGTTTAAGTGCGATCTCCTTCCAAAATCCATCTTACAGATCATGTAGATAATCTCTACCACCAAGATCATGAAAAATAAAATTAAGCTCAAAACATAGAATACATTGTATTGGAAGAATAAATATGAATCTTAAAACATGATAATAAAACAAAGTTTAAAATCATATATTTTAAAATTCAATTTTTATTCATTTTTTTTTCAGATTCACAATCATCATGGTCCAAAGTTTCTAAACCCATCTCTGAGATGGATTTGGGATGGAGACTGCACATGAGCGGGGTGAGTCGGTGTGTATGTGTGTGTGTGTGCGTGTCTGTTTGTTAGCCCAAATGCTAACATATAATAGTTTTAGCCCAATGACCTATAATTGATATTGGCAGACCGATGTGTATGGAAATTGAGTAATTTATAATATTTTTCATCAAATCTGTTTGACCTTATTTTTTGTGGATATGCATGCTTCATCAAGGGGAACCAAAAAATATAAAAAACATACTACTTAAAATTTTAAAATGACTAAATGACATTCACCCTTGTTTCTAATATGGGCAGGGGTATTTTGGATTTTATGTATTCATTATTCATTATTTTGATATATTGGTGTTTATTTAGCAGTGATTCCTCCGGGACATATGCTGCTCTTTCTGTCCTTCTAGAGTATTTTTCTACAATTTTCTTGATTCTTTGCTGAATTGCTTTAAAGGCGCACATTTGCATCTTTTGTATAATTTTTTGTATATTTTGTATATACATGTACATACACCTGTTTGTGCATATTTCTGCTAAAGCTTATAGGCAATGGTTGATAAGCTATCCTTGGATGCCAAATTATGGAGATTGCTCATATTACAGATTTGGAGATGGGAAAGGGTTCAAATAATATACATGTTGTTCATGTCCAATAGAGAGGGATCAAATGAATAGTGGTTATAAATTGTACTATACTTGTAACAGGTGTCGTAGTGTGCACGTGCGAATAGAGAGGGATCCCACATTTTTTCATTTTTGTTGAATTGAATGGACCCCACTTTTACATTGTGAAGAATGCCACCCACATTCATCCCTCCATCCCACCCCCCAAACAAAAAAAAGGAAAAAAAAAAGAAAGAAAAGCCCCCCTGCAAAGAAAAAAAGAGAAAAGGAAAAAGAAAAAAGCGAGTGAAGAGTCAACTCGAAGCCACTTGATTCGGCCTTTATTTCTCATACTTGTGTTTGGCTTGCATCTTGTGGTCTAAACTGTTCATCAGATAAAAGTTGTTCTAGCTAAGTGTGTCTAATGATGGTATCAATTGACTTTTCATGTAGATTTGCAGTACTTGTTGATATCCCACAATAGGATACTAAAATGCATGCCATTAATTGACTTGATGGTGGGGAATAGAAACTCTAGAAGCCATGCATAACTTGCATTCCTTTAGTTGTGGGTCCCACCAATGCCCCGAGGATATATACGAGTTAATGATCGTACTATTTACATGTACCAGATGTGGTTTGACTTTTTTTTTTCTTTTTTCTTGGGGGTAAAGTAAGAATAATTTCCTGGGTGTTGGAGGCTTAGTCTTGGTACATCTAAATATCCAAAAAAATTATTGGTTTTGAAAGGCCAAAATGCTCGACATATCATGCTTCTAGGAGGTATAGTAGCAAGAATTAGCATGCGAGACTTGATTAGTGCTGAAGATATTTCACTTCAACTTCCAAAACATGGATTAGGCTGTGGAATCTGGATAATTTGGTTTTGTTTATGTGGATTGGCACGTACTTGTTGAGTTGCTATTTTGTGTTTGCTTTTCATGAATAGCCCATCTAGCAATGTGACCCTCATGTTTATGCCATAATAAGGGTCTAAGGGGGCAAGGCATTCACTGGGAGGGCTTCTTGAAGCTCAATTTTAATGGCAAATTCACTGGGAACCATGGTCTGTGTGTGGTTTTGATCAAGGACACGGTTAGCATGTGGGCCAAGCTCGCACATGTAGAAATGTGGGCCCCTTAATAAATTTGTTTTTAAAATAGAAGTCGATCCTAATATTTAGAGAATATATAACATTTAACATGGAGATGATTAATCTGTAAAAATAATGATTCTATTAAGAAAACATTGGACCGTTAGTTTCCATTGTTTTTAGATGGACCGCCTTTTTGTATCCGTCTTTAAGATGGATGCTTTGCACTTCTGGACCGCATATGTAGAAATGCGGTCCAGCCTACATGAAACAATTTTCCTTCGATTAACTTGACACAATTTTGATGACCTTTGTGGGTTTGTAGGTACTTGTCATTCTATTAAATCTGAGCGTGATATCCTCTTGACGGTCCTTAGGGTATTATTTTCTATTGAAGTGTTGAGGAGAGAGCTTCTGATGGGTCTTGAAGTGTTACTATTGTTTCTTCTCAAGATCCTTGATAGTGGGTGATGACTATTTATTTGTTCTGTCATATTGGATCACTTTCTAGTATTAAATGTCCTTCTCCTTCACTAACGTTTGGAATTCTCATCAATTATGGATCTCCTATCCAAGATATGACTGAGGTTATTATTATTGCAATCTTCTACGTGTGTCTTGATTGAATTCTTTCTTTATGACACATTGTGCTGGTGGTTCTTGATTCCAGGTTCTGAAGTTTTGATCGAATCAACTTGAGATTGATCTGGCTTCAGTATTATTTGTTGTCCAAGAGAAGTTCTTCTGACTTGATATATCCAGATTCTTGAGCTTCGGAGAAAGCTCCAAGAAAATGGCAAACTTAGCAATCAATGGCATTCTGGAGAAGGTAATATCTTTCAAATTATGCCGATTTACCTTTTTTCTACTATCAATTATCCATTTGGTGGATCTTCCCGTGTATCTACTGGGTCCTTTATGAGAATTGTGTGTGAACGTTTTATTGGTAGGATGGGTGAATGGTATCTTGGGAAAATAGATTGTGACTACCTGGAACACATGCATAGATGGTGCTGTTTGTCCAAAATCCTGAAATATCCGACTGTACTTGAGCCCTACAAAATTTGTAAACGACTCTTTTACCCCTAATGCACTGTACCAAACAAACAAGGTTAATATTAGTGAAATATTGTAATCAAATTCGTGGATATATTTTGCTCTTTTTCAACGGTGTGTCTGGTATCATCAATCTCTGGACTGGAGTAAGAAAACAGCCTTTGTTGAAAATCCGAGGGATGAGGTGCTACACTGTATTTCAAAATTTCTGAGCCACTGCACGATCTATGCAGGTGTTCCAGGAGCCATAGTGATTTTTTTCCTTTTTTTAGGTTTATGTGATGGAAGGATAGTTTGTTGATTATTTATTTTCATTAGAATTGATAGCTTATTTAGTGGAAGGTGCAGTCTACCAGTGCTTTGTGCTACATACTACTGTTATGTGCAGATGACTGGGAAGGACAAAGATTACAGATATATGGCAACATCAGATTTACTGAATGAATTAAGCAAGGATAGTTTTAAAGCTGATAGCGATCTGGAGATTAAGGTTTCAAATACTGTCTTGCAACAACTTGATGATGCTGCCGGTGATGTTTCTGGATTGGCTGTAAAATGGTTTGTTCTTCATAACTTTTTTCAGTGGATAATGCTTAAAATTTGTAGTTTAGAACATCGCAGTAACCTTTTGTCGGTTTATGCTGAGAGCTTCAGCTATAGCATTGCTGTTCTGTCTGATTTTTATTACTTTATTGCTATTAATATTTGTCATATCCATTTTGGATGTGGATTGCTTTAGATTAAGAGGATCGAGTGCATCTGTCTCATGTTCTCAACTTTGCGAAAGTATCCTGTAATCTGGTGGATGATGGAAAAACCACAATTAATTGGGTCATTGTCATTCCATTGAAATGACCTATGATGATGGAGGGAGAAAGAGTGAGACCCACTAATACAAGACATGACCTTAAGGGCATGTTTGTTTTTCTGAAATTTTTGAATTTTTTAACAGTTTTGCGTTTGACACACGGTTTCCATCTAAAAGTTCAGAAAGTAATTTTCCAACAAAGTTCACATTCATTTGTCAAAACATGAAAGATTAAGTTCCTACTGGGGGATAGGAACTTAATCTTTCATAACGTTTTTGTTGATCACTATTCATTATGCATAATATAAATACATAATTGTAATATTATAAATATGATAGAATATAATATAATATTACTATAACGTACTATTAAATAATATTTTAAATATTAAATAATATAATATAATATAATACTATATATTATATATTATATATATATTTTATTAATGTAATTTATATTTTATAGTATATATTGATTATATATTAAATGTAATATATAATATTAAGGAAGAGACTGCAAAACGCCTATGAGCGAAAAATGAACAGTAGTTTCGCCCATAGGCTTAGCACCGTCCGATTTTTTTGGACAGCGTGGATTAAAGACCGTCATGGACACAGCAAGTCCGTGACGGGATTTTTTTCACGCAAATTTGAAGCAAAAACTATGAGGGGACCGCAACGGCTCCCGTAGGTCCGTGGCGATTTTTGGCAAAACCATCACGGACATAGCATGTCCGTGATGGGGTGAAATACTGTAGCACTTCGCCTATAGGCGTTTTTTAGACTTTTCTATATAATATTTATTTATATTATATTATATATTATATATATTATATATTTACGATATTATATATAGTATATAAATATATTATATTATATCATATAAATATTTATATTAGTATTAACTATATTATATATAATGTTTATATTATTATATTATATATAATATATATTTTACTTTATAATATATGTTTATTATATTATATAATATTTATATTATTATATATAATTGATACTAATATTTATATTATTATATTATATATAATATATATTTTACTATATAATATATGTTTATTATATTATATATAATGTTTATATTATTATATTATATATAATATATAAATATAATATACATTTATTATATTAAATATATATTACATATAATATTTATATGGGTGCGGTTTGTATAGAGCCTAGGCTCTAAACAATCAAATTAGAGCCTAACTTCAAATAGTGTCAGAATAGTGGTT